TAGAAAAGCTGTTTGTTAATAGAATTACCTGGTTCTTGCATAATAAAAAACTGCTAAATAAAGCACAGTTTGGTTTTTACCCCTCATAAGAGTTGTGAAGAGGCTCTTTTGTACTTAAAATACATAGTGGACGAAGGTAAGAAGAGAAATTTACACACAGTTTTTTTAGTGTTTCTTGATATCAAAGGTGCTTTCGACCACGCCTGGTGTCCTGGGATACTTGTTTTTTTAAGGAAAGCTGGTATTCCGTGTAATATTTACCACCTTATTAAAGATTTTCTGCATGACAGATCTGCATTGCTCTCCCTTGGCCACGTTTCTTCCTCCCGCATTTTGGAAAGAGGTTGCCCTCAAGGCTCGGTTTCCGGACCTTTATTGTGGAATTTAATTATGAATGATCTACTCAATAGACTCTCACATTGTCCGAGTTGTAAAACAATTGCTTTTGCTGATGATCTACTAATTTGCTATCAAGAGAAGTGTCCCATTACTCTCTTTAATACGGCTCAAAACACCCTTACTATTATTTCCAATTGGTCCAGAGAACAGAAATTGGAATTCAATCCTAATAAATCTAAAATTATGATAATTAAAAGAAAGCATGTCAGCTATACAAACAAACAACTGTACTTGGATAATACCTTACTCGAAACGGTGAATGAAATTAAATATTTAGGCGTTATTCTTGATCATAAGTTTTGTTGGAAAAATCATATTATGTATTTATCCAATAAGTGTGAAAATATACTTAGAGGACTTAATCGTGTCTCTTGCAATACTTTTGGTTTAAAAGTTAATGTTATTGATATGATTTATAAGCAGGGTATTGTCCCCTTTATTTGCTATGCTTCTAGAGTGTGGGGAACAGCTTTAGAAAAGAAGATTAATTCCCATATACTTCGCAGAATTCAAAGAAGAATTTTACTAAGAGTTGTGCGTGGCTACAGAACAATTAGCTATGAAGCCTGTTTCGCAATTTCAGGATTTCCTCAGATTGACCTTCATGTTTTGAATGACAAAAAGTTTAAAGATACCATCAGCAAATTTATGTTCGATGCCAAGGTGTTGTTTGAAGATCTTCCTCATCCTGCCAATCGTTTGCCAATTCAAACTATCATTTATGACAATTCTGTTGATGATAATTTTCCTGTTGTGTGTTTATATAGATGGCAGTAAAATTAATAATCGAGTTGGATTAGCTTATGTCGTTTTCCATAATGGTTCTGAACTGGAATACAAACTCTTTAGAATTTCCAATGAATGCAGTGTTTTCCAAGCCGAATTACTGTGCATTAGTGAGTCAATTAAGTGGATATCTAACAACTGTTCGCTAAGTGCTAAATTTCTTATTCGCACTGATTCTCTTTCATCCTTATTTTCTCTTAGGAATATCTTCTCATATAATAAATTAATTGTGACTTCCCATGCTCTTCTTAAAGACCTTAATAATAAAGGTGTTGATGTTATCTTTTCTCATGTACGTGGCCACACTGGCAATCTAGGAAATGAACGGGCTGATTGGTTGGCAAAACAAGCTACACATCTTCAAGTAATTACTCCAATGATACTTCCTAAGTCATTTTACAAGAACAAAAGTAGGGATGATACAATACTCGAGTGGAATGAACTATACAGGAATTCTACTATTGCCTCTTTGACTAAACTATATTTTCCTTCCATTCCTCACAGACTGAATAATAAACACTTTTTCTGCAATTTTGAAGTTACTCAATTTCTAACTGGACATGGTAAATTCAATTCATATCTAAAGAGATTTAGATTATGCAGTACATACTTGTGTTCATGCAGTTTCGGGGGAGTGCAAAATGTCGAACATTTGTTGTTCTATTGTTCAAAGCTCAAGGAAGGACGAAAGGAACTCATTTCTAAGTTAAACTCTGTGAATATTTCATTTCCTCCCCCTCTTCATGTTTTTGTTCAACATAAAATGGCTTTCTCTTTTTTCTGTAAATTTATCTCTTACGTATCATCTGTGAATTTGTAAGTTTATTTTATTTTGTGTTGTGTTTTTTTTTTTTTTTTTTTTTTTTTACTTACCTCTGTAAGCCTTGTGTAATACTATGTGGTGCACAAGGATTTAAAATTTTCAATTAAAAAAATAAAATAAAAAAAAAAGATATTTAGAAAAAAATATTACTTTACTTATTAAATGAAATTTAAGTAAATTCTGATCTTTTTTAAAACAAAGAGGGAATAAAGAATGTGATTCAGAGTGAAACTTAAATAAAATTTTAGAATTAATATTACTTTAAAATTAGTAGACTCAACAATGGTGCTCAAAAAGTGGTCAGAAAGTTTTTAGATATTTTGTAGAGATGAGCAAAGAAATTCTATAAATTGAATTTTAGACTTTTTAATTTTTTATTAAAAAACTGCATAAGAAAACTTGAAAAGGAAGTAAAGGAACTATTAATAGAAAAGTACAAAGTTTTCACGTCGTGGGTTTATCATGATGACTTTGAATACAGGAGGGGCCCTTGTTTTAATAAAATAATAGTAATTAAGAGAAAAAATAAAATAAAATATTTTTTAATAAAAACCTATAAACCTTTAAAGCGTTAAAGCATTCTTCTTTACCCTTCTCTTTCGGAGCTTTCAGATAAAAAATTCACACTTTTAAAAAGTATTATGGGATGTAGACTACTCCAGGTTTTGTTGAAAGACTATTAATGAATTTTATAGGAATTTCACTTTCTTTTAAAATTTTGGTGAAAATTAGGATTTTTTTTTTTTTTTTTGTATGTTTTTTATTTCAGTTTCTATTCAATTTAAAATTTCTTTACCTGCAAACGCAAGGAATTCCAATGGGAAGTTCTTATTCAACTCACTTTTGCGACTTATTTCTATTTTCTAAAGAATTCAAATTCCTAAACAGCCTTTCTGATAACAATTTCAGTAAATTTGAACACACTTATTACATATTGATGACATTATTACTTTCGACAATTATAATCTCATAGAAAATAGCAACATCTACCCAAGCTGTCTAAAACTTAATAAGACCAATAAAAATCAGTCAGGCTTATCTTGATCTAAGCATTCATAATCTTAAAGAAAGAAATTTAACTTTTTGATAAAAGAAAAGAATTTAGTTTCTCTACTAACCTTATAAATTGGAACTCCAACATATCTAAAAAGTTACTGCAAATACTATTAACCAAATAAGTAGAATTAAAAACATTTACACTGAAACAGAAACACAAAAAGAATATATTCAAAATTTTAAAATAAAATGAAATTCCTATAAAATTCATTAATAGTTTTTTTTTTTTTTTTTTTTTTTTTTTTTTTTTTTTAATCTGGAGTAGTCTACATCCTATAATTCTTTTTAAATATTTTATAATACTTTTAGGTTTTTATTAAAATTTATTTCATTTATTTTTTCTCTTAATTACTAATCTTTTATTAAAACAAGCGACTCCTATGCCCACGATGTGAAGACATTTTTACTTTTCTAACAATAGTTCCTTTACTTCTTTCTCAAGCTTTCCTCTGCATTTTTCTGTAATTTTTTAATAAAAAAAAATTTAAAAATCTAAACTTCAATTTATAGGATTTTTTCTACACATTTCTACAAAATTTTAAAAAATTTTCTGATCACTTTTTAAGCACGCTTGTTGAGTCTACTAATTTTAAAGTAATATTAATTCTAAAATTTCACACTGAATACACTTTATTGACATTTCACACTGAATCACATTCTTTATTCCCTCTTTGTTTTAAAAATATTTTTCAAAATATCTATTTTCAATTTAAAAAGTTGTAATAGAAATTTTGAAATTTTAAAATGGTTTTCTTTTTAAAATTATAAAATTTGTTCCAATTTTTAGCCTTCTGATGGATAACTTTCTTGACACGGTTTCTTAGTTTCGTGAATGAAGCTAAACTGGCAATCCTAAACGTCATTACTTTAATGATCTTTTTCATAGTTTCAAATGTGTTCTAATTGAAACTGCTCAAAGTTTTTAATCATTTCTTATAATTTTTTATTTCGATTCCATTTAGACTTGGTCTTTTTACTAAATTTTTATAATTACTTATGTTTTCAATTATTTGGATTATGTTCTCTTTGTTTAAAGGTAAAATTTTGATTTGAATTTTTCACTAAAATATTTTATCATTTCACTTACATTTTCAATTCTTTGAATACAGACTACTCTTTATTTAAAGGTAAAAAATTTTGATTACAATTTACTTTGTTTTTTTTTTTATTTTTTTATTCTTTCTTTGGGAAAAAACCAGAATTTCCGGGTGAGCTATTATAATTAAAATACATTGAAACAGTTCACTGGTTAATTCCGGATACGGAAAAGCAAGGATTTTTGTTGTGGAAGAGAAATTTCAATTGATTTCATTGTTCCTCCTCCTGACGAAGTGCCACTGAAGTTGAATGAATTCCTCTTCTTTTATGCTCTTCTTTGTATAAATTTCATTGATTTTTTTAATTGGGGTATTGCTTGTTTGAAGTGTTTTGGTTTTAACATTTATTAAATTCTTTTTTGCATTTATAGGATTATTTGAAATTTATTATTTATGAATTTCAATTTTTCGTCTTTGTGAAAAATTGGTTCTAAATGTCTTACTTTATCTATATATTAGGAAATTTATTTCAATTTAGTAATGTATTTAATTCAACCTTATATATATATATATTTGTTTGTGTGTGTGTGTGTGTGTGTGTGTGTGTGTGTGTGTGTGTGTGTGTGTGTGTGTGTGTGTGTGTGTGTGTGTGTGTGTGTGTGTGTGTGTGTGTGTGTGTGTTGGATTATGCCAGTACTTTAAAAACCTAGCTTTAATAATTAAGCAAATGATTGCAATATGACAGTATTTTGACCTGCAATTAAGTATTTGTGCTAGTTCTTTAAAACTACTCAAATCTCTTTTTTTTTTTTTTTTTTTCCCTGTTCACATATATTTTAATAAGAAAATTACATGTTTTAAACATAATAATGAAAAACAACACCACAAAATAAGCTCACCATTTCCATCATTTCCTGATCTTCAAAGTCATATATTATATGTTCCAAAATATCTCTATCGGCAACAAAACCCAATGCCCGAAATACAATCATAATAGGAATTTCTTGTTTAATGTATGGTAAAATCGCTATTATTCGTTGCCCAATGGCACTTTTCCTGACACCCTGTCAAAAGATAAGATCATTTAAGGCACTTATCTGAAATGTTCATTTACAAATCATAAAACTGGAGAAATTCATACCTGACCACCTCTAGCTAACATATTAACCCACAAAGTGCTAGTAGGACGAGAAGAATGTTCTAAGCATGATCT